AACATCTTCCTGCATTTCTAATGAAAAACGGATTCTCCCCCCTGCTTTTGAAGTGCTCTTTGGGAATTGTTTGAGTGTTCTTTGCAATCTTTTATACCCAGCCTAAGGACTCTGACAAACCCTCTCTTTCCCTTCAAAGGCTTGTTAACTATGTGATGAATACACCTGTCACTTCCAATTCTAACCTTACTTTCTGTTGTGATGGCTGTAGAATTTGGTATCTATGGCAACTTTTCAGTGGCTCAACATCGATTAAAAAAATGATTGGCTTATCAGGGTTGCTTGGTTGATTGATGGAAATGATCAGTTGCTCAAAATAATCATGACAGATAAAGTCTCTTGATTAGCTAGTATTTGCAAGATTCAGAAATTTCAGATTTCATTACTTTCCTTTTTATTATTTCCATGCAAAAGTAACTGGAATTTAATTCTACTGAAGTAGTTACAAGTTAATTTGGACTGCCTTAATGAAGGAAACTTGATTCAATCCACATATCTTATTTAGAAGCCAAATGGCACATTTTGTCTATTCTAGAAAATCCACCCCTTGATTTTCTAATATCCCAAGGTCAGAGACTAATTTATGTTTCTTTAAAAATTAAATTTAATACTAAAAAACATTTCAGCCAGGTTTAGAGCATTTGCAAATTAACTATAAAGATTTTCATTCTGATGCTTCCTCAAGTACGTGCAACCAGGAGAGACCACGCTGTAGGGGAGAAACAGTACCTGGAGCCTCACCTTCCCAGGAAACTTAAATGCCCTATTTTTAACAGAATATTTTAAATCAGTGTCTCCAAAAGTGTAGCAATATACCAGCAATAGTATATAAGACAAATTTAGGTAGTCTACCAACTTTCTTAATGACCAGGTATTTATTTATTTTAATGTAACATTGTTGTTCTTTGATCACTTTAAAAAGTGGCAATTTCACGTGGTTTGACTTAATGCCTTATCTTTAAAAATAACTGTATTTTTACAGCTCTATATTCCTAGGGTTACTGTAATAGCCCTACAAAGTACCACAAACTGGGTGGCTTACACCAACTGAAACTCACTGTCTCAAAGGTCTGGATGCTAGAAATTTGAAACCAAGGTGTCAGGAGGACCACGTGCCCTCTAAAACCTGGAGGAGAATCCTTCCTTGCCTCTTGCCGGCTTCTGGCATCTGCCTGTGATCTTTGGCCTTCCTTGGCTTGCAGGAGGCAGAGCACCAATCTTTGTCATCACATTGCATTGTCCCTGTGTGTCTGTCTTCACATGGCCATCTTCTTGGAAGGACGTGAGTCATACTGGATTAGGGGCCCACCCTACTTCAGTATGACCTAATTTTAACTAATTACATCTGCAATTACCCTACTTCCAAATAAGGTCAAATTCTGAGATACTGGGGGTTAGGACTTTAACATATGCAATTTCGGAGAGAGGCCATTCAACCCATAACACATTTGTACGTCTGTAATTTCACAAATAATATTGCTTAGGATGAGGGTAAAACAGGGTTCTTTTTAAAGTTAAAACTGATTCTTAAAACACTGGTGCAGATGATATGTGAACATGACAGATTTATAAATCTCACATAGACAATGACTAAAGATGGAGAGTGAGGTTGACTGGAAAACTGATCAATTATTTTCTTTCCTGTTTCCTCGTCCCTTTACCATGTGACCTTGCAGCAACTCCCATCAAGAGGTGGAGTCTATTTCTCCACCCCTTGATTCTAGCTGACCTTATGGTTTATTTTGGCCAAATTAGCAAGTAGAAGCTTCGAAAGTGCTTGCTGGTTGGGGCCTGTTCTCTTTCCAGGCTACCCTGCTGAAAGATGAGAGAGACCTTGCAAAGCAGAATGAAGACAGCCAGTGCATGGTCAGCGAGCCCCTATGCAGACCCAGCTGCCAGCTTCAGATACATGACCTGTGCTTCAGCCAAGGCTAGCTGGCCCCATGTCCAGAGCAGCAGAGCCATCCAGCAGAGCCCAGCCCAAATTGACAATTTGTAGAATCTTCAGCTAAAAAAGAATTGTTATTCTTTTAAACTACTACTTAAACTTCCTCATCAATATTCTGTTTATTTTGCCTAATGACTACAAAAGTTTCCCAAACTTTCTAGGGACTTTTTCATCAAAACTGCTTTTAGGGTCCCAGAAATGTTGATTTGGGATGAAGAGATAGTTTGGGAGTGGGGAGTTGGACAGGGAAGGTATCTTGCAGCATTCTGCATTAAAGTCCATTTACTTTCCTCCCTCTCTCTCATTGGCCTGTGAAGTCAACCAAAAATAACCTTAGAGGTTGCAAGAAAGGTGCCAGGCCCACCAAGAGCACAGCAGGTGCGTCACATCCTTACCAACTTCGTCTGTCTTTTTACAGGACACTTTCTGCAGGACACTTTCTGCAGGACACTTTCTGCTCAGTTTGGTTTCAAGTAAGTCAAGGAAGAGGTTTCCTAAACTGTAACTGCCATTATTGGTGACCAGACCATAGGGCTTTATGATTATTTATGACAATTCTTCCCAGAATCCATCCTGGATGAAACTCTATGTTTGACATCCAACTCTGAACAGCATAATGGAAAGAGAATTAGACTCTAAATTGATATTCCTGGGATTTTCCCCCCTAGAGGAACCCACATCTACTCCTATTCTTTCTCAATCAGTTTTCCACACTGCAGCAAGAGTAACCTTTCTAAAATACGAAACCCATCATGCTGACTCTCATTTTAAATGCTTCTACAGTTTTCCATTGCTCTTGGAGTAACAACCAGATTCCCTAAGACTGCTTATAGACTATATTAGACTGCTCAGGAAGCTACCATGACAAAATATCACACATTGGACAACTAAAGCAACAGAAATTTATTTTCTCACAGTTCTAGAGCCTGAAAGTCCAAGATCAAGATTCCAGCAGGGCTGGTGTCTGGTGAGGGCTCTCCTCTTGGCTTGCAGATAACTGACTTCTCCCTGTGTCCTCCCATGGACTATTCTCCGTGTATGCACATCCCTAATGTCACTCTCTTCTTATAAGGACACCAGTCCTATTGAATTATGCCCTTATGTCCTAATCTAACCTTAATTATCTCCTTAAAGGCCCTATTTTCATATATGGTCACATGGTGGGTTAGGGCTTCAAGATATAAATTAGAGGCACACAATTCAGTCCATACAATGGCTCGCTTGGGCTGTTTTGTGAGGACATCTGGAGACCCCTACCCAGCCATTAACTATCCCTTACCCTCTACCCTCCATCACTCTTCTCTGTCCCTTTCTTGGACTGCACCAGTCTCTTAGCAGTTGTGATTTTTTTAATTCTTATCCAGGTAATGCCTTGCCCTCATAAGAATGGAAGCTCCAAGAGAACAAGGAAGAATTACATCTAGTTTTGCTCATCAGTTTATCTCCAACCTCAGCACTTGGCATATAGCAGGCACTTGATAATAGTTTGTGGAACAAATGAAAAGTTTAGCAAAGGGATTGAGATTTCTTATAGCCACACAGTTAACATGACTTGGAGATATGAAAATGATTCCTCCCTGTTTATACAATCAACATTTATTCAGCACCTTCTCTGTGCTAGGTCTAGAGAACACAAGGATAAATAAGGTAGGTATATGACAAAGAGACCCCTCTGCAGACTGTTATCTTATTGAATCATATTTTCTTTTCTCTTTGTATTCAATCTTCAATCCACCTTGGCTCAGGTATAAATAAAATCTCAAAACACGGAGAATTTTTTAAACTATGTAATACTTATTTAACTTTGCTGTTTACAGTCATTGTACACATGTTACTTGAAAATTTTCATGTTAGAAATAAAAATCATTCCACATCATTAAAAGTTTAAAATATAACTATCATCCTTTCAGAGATGTATCTGATTATGGTCCCAAGAAAACAACTGTCAATAAATTCTTTATAGTTTTATGGGCAGCTAGAAAGAGAAAATACAATACAGGCAAAGATTTTAAAATATAAAAATAATTGAAAGATACATACTAATTTTAAAAGTCATTCTCTAAAATTAATGTGACTGACTGATAGATGAATCACACATTTTTCATAACATTGTAATATAAAATGAATAAAGAGGAAGTAGAAATAAAACACATATCATATACATACCTATGTTTCTAAACATCTTGCAAAATCTAATAAATTTAATATGGGCAGAGTTTGGGAGATTTTACTGCCCCAAAAACTTGACTTTGCAAATCCTTTAAATTTGAAAATTGTAGCTACTGTTGATATTTACCTGAGATCCGCCAGGCTCTCTATTAGGGGCTTTACAGATATTATTCTAATCCTTCCAGACACCATACACAGTAGGAATCATCGTCTCCATTTTAAAGAGGGAAAATGTCAGATCAGAAAGCTTAAAACACAATTAACAAGCAGTAAAGCTGGGGTTCAAGGACAACTCCATTCAAGACCAGTCAAACTCAAGCCAATCTGACCTCAGATGCTCTCTGCACTATCCCCGTGCAGCCTCGAAGCTATCAAGAATAGGTTCTGGCTGACTCCCTTTGTGGAAAACCTGGGATATAAATAAGTAAATTAAATGAATTAAAGTAGGTTTTTGTCTCTATTTTGAGACTGGGGATGTGATTGCTAAATACCTTCTGGAGCCCAGGAGAGAAAAAGCAAATGTCCTAAGGCCTTTCATTTATCCTCATGAAGCCATTTAGACAATTTCCTCTGTAGAAGACATTTTTAGCTTAGGCAGAGAGTGAGACAAATATAGCCACCTGCAAGGCCAGGCATCTTCACCTAGGAGAGTTGGGGACTGACCCCGCTCTGATGTGGCGTGGGGAAGGGTGAAGTCACACTGTAAATATTCCCCCAGCCTGCTGCAGACTCTGGGATTTCTGTGTAAGAGAGCTATTATTTTTGGTTAAACAGTTTTCCCCAGGAATCCTCTTTTAAAATGCACAGGGCCTTAGTAGGGTAATTAAGTCATCAATTCCTTAGCTCATTGAATTTATACAAGAGCAGTTAGCCAATCACCTACCTGCCAGTCCTTAAAGGAAAACAAACAAGTTCAGGGTTCACTGGCTTTCACTTTCTTGCAAAGTTGTCGAGGACCAATACTAGCTATGATGCAAACAGATCTTCCTCATTTCACTCCCAATAAAAGCTCTGTATTTTGATGTTCCCATCTGTAAAATGGGGATAAAGATAATAACTAGGAGATAATAAGTTAGTGTACAAATGCTGTTTTGCACACTAAGCAAAGTGCTGAAAACCATGTTTGGCACACAATGATTGTTCTGTATATGTGAGTGTTTTAAAATCTTTAGACCTTAGTTATCTCATTTCTAAAATGAGAGTAATGATATTCTAAATTGGAAATGCCTGGCTTTCCTCGATTTATCCAACAAACATTTATTGAGTGCCTACTATGTGACAGGCAGGATCCAACAGTGACTATCACCTACCTGTTTCCTACATGCATTGAGCTTACACGTCAAAGGGTGAGGCAAACATTATCCACAATTATGGACAATCCACGACAACCATCACACAAACATTTAGCCACGTTGCTGTAAGTGCTTTGAAGGAAAAGAACTGGGCCAGTGGGGCCTGGGGAAGGTCTTTCGCAAGAAGGGACATTCAAATTGACTTGAAGATGAGCAGTTGGGCAGATAAAGAGTTGGGAGAGGAGAGTTTCAGACACAGAGACCACCGCTGGGAGAAGCCCTGAAGCCAGAAGCTTCAGGAACTGTGAGAAAAACCAGTGGAAGTAAGGAAGAGAGTAGATGAGGGTGAGAAGCAGACAGAGGCAAGACCAAGGTTATGTGACATCAGAGCATGGAAAAGTCATATCAAAGATTCTGTGGATTTTATCCTGCAAGAAATAGAAAGCTCCACTGTTCTAAGCACAAAGTGATGTGATCTGATTTTTCAGCTTAACACCATTATTCTTGCTACTGTGTAGAGACTAGACTAGCTGGAGAGACAGAGTTAAAGGGACAAAGGAGATAGGTCCAAAATCCACTGGAATCATTGTGGAATGAGATGGTGGTAGCTGGGAGTGGGGAATTATTTTGGAAGCAGAATCAGTGGGATAGGCACATAGGAAACCACCTAGCTGTGTCCCTCCCCTTCCCTCTCTCTGAGTAGCCCATCCAGAAGCACATGCGGTGACCGCAGGACCGTGGTGACCTTTTATCTCATGGAGGTTGGGGGCAGCTGTGCTTTGGGCCGGCATCAGGACCCTAGGCCATTCACTTCTGCAGACTACAAGGACAACTATGTTCAAGGCCAGCCTGGGTTTGTGTTTCCAGAGATGAGGGTCAGTCTTCCATGGTGAAAAGAGTCAGCCTGGGCAAACGGAGTGGAGCTATTTGGGATCCAATCCGATCATGCTTCAGTCCCCAGCCCTGATATTATTTATCGTCAGGGATCGTGGGCACATTAATTCAGAGGAGTGTAGGAAATGGGGAAGCAGATTCAAGACAAGCCCCAGGACAGCTAAAGGCATTGTTGCTTCTGAGACCAAGCATGTGTTGGCCTCTGCTGTGCACAGAGGCAAGTGCGGCCAACTCACAGAGACATAGACAACCTTAGGCCACTCCCCAACCATGTAGCAAGAGGCCACATAGCTGTGGATGCAGCAGGAGTGAGCTAGCAACGGCCTTAGGATCATATGTTCTTAATGGCCTTAATCCAGCCCCTGCACATTCCCCAGAGGGTGCCCACACCTCCAGAACAATTCTCTTCTCCTTCCCTTTCTTTTTTCCCTTTCTGCTCCTCTGCACTTTCCTACGCCCTCTTTAGATTCTTTTCTTACAAGAGTAGATAAATGTGAATAGCAAATCTTAAGATTTTTTCTTGTCAGATTGGCATAAGTTTAAAAGACTAATAATATCAAATGCTGGAGTAGATGCCAGGAAACGCAACATTGTTATTCATTTAGGGAATGTGTAACTTAGTGATGCCTTTTTGAAAAACAATTTGGCAGCATCTATCAAAATTTTAAGTGCACATGCCTTTTGACTGAGCAGTTCCTCTTTGAGGGATCATGCTTTAAAAAGTACTTGTTTGTGTGCACAGAGTAGGATGTTGAAAGTTTTTTGTGGTTATTTACTGTAGATGATAGTACAAAACTGGGAACAATTTAACTGTCCATGAATTGCAGAGCACTTTAAATAAATGATGGTGTTATGGAATACTATTAAACTAGTAAAATAAAAAATCAAATCTAAATTATTTCCAAGACATGTTACATGAAAAGAGCAAATTGCAGAGCAGTTAGAACACCATGCACTCATTGATTCTTTTTAAAGAAATGTGTATAAGAAGTGTGTAAGCATGAAAATACACAGAAAGGAAGCTGGAAGGATGCCCCACACTACTGGCAGTGGACATTCTAGGGAGGGAAGAAGTGATTATGTTGGGGTGGAAGGAGAATATCCACACTCTTCTAAGTATATAAGGTACCTAAGGATGTCAAATTCATGGAGAAAGAAAGTAGAATAATGGTTATCAGGAGTTGCAAGGAGGAGGGAATGGGAGTCATTGCTTAATGGGTGCAGATTTTCTGTTTGTGATGATGAAAAAGTTCTGGAGATGGACGTTAGTGATGGTTGCAAAGCAAGGTGAATGTACATAATCCCATTGAACTGTGCACTTAGAATGGTTGAAATGGTAACTTTTATATTAAGTATATTTTGCCACAATAAAAGAAAACAATGATTAATACAAATAATTTCATCAGGATTTACTTCCGGTGCCAGACATCTGAGGACAAGGGTGGACTCTTTGTTTGTAAGTAATGGCACTTAATGCCAGGAGGTCACTGAGGGATCAACACATCGACCGTCCACTCGTTGGCCTCCATAATCAGATGCTAACAGTATTTACAGGCTGAGCTTCCATCCAGGCTCCCAGCCTCAAGACCCTTTGAAACCGTCTGCTTTGTTGACATAACCTTCTAAATTCCCTACCTCAAATGGTGTGAATTGAAGGAGAAACTCATAACTGTCATTTAAGAGAAAAGAAAGAAAAGCTACCATGATTTAGCTCAGTGCTTAAACGCTCCTACATAGAACCTATAGCTAAGTGAGTGCCGCAGCATTTTTATAGTGTGCTTTCACCCCATTGTCGAGCCGTGGCTGGCTTTCTCTTTAGGCCAGCTGGCTTCTTGGAGATAAAGGCACTAATGACATCAAGTCATCTCTGCAAATGAGACTGGAATTAAACTACCTTGTGCCCGAACACATCACGTTTGGCATCTGCACATCATTACTCGAAGCTCATTTGACAAAGCGAAGGGACAACATTGATTACATTCAGCCAGACCACTTTGCAGGAGAGAACCAAACAAATGCAAACAAACCCTGGTCTCATCATGTTTCACTGCTCTTCCACAGGCATCTGTCAGAATTAAAGAGAGGAGATGTTTATGCTGGGACAGGAAGTCCAGGTCAAAGGTAGAGGGAGAAAGGACCCAGTACTTACAAAGAACCCAGAGCAGGAAGGCAAATGTCACTGATAGGAAGCCCATCATTGCCCCAGGTAACCAAATATGACATGCCTTTGATTTTTACAGGCGGGTGATTTATGAATCATGACAAAACAGAATGGACATACCTTGAGCTAATGCCCATTTAGATGAGGGGATAAAACCCTGGTGTTTACTCTCAGCACTCTTAATATCTCAAATGAATACTAATCGGAGATGTTTATTGAAAACGAGAATGATGCCATTTTCCGCTGTATCTCATGTCATCTGAAGGACCTTACACTTGAGAACTGCAAGGCAGGAATTTATTCAGTCTCCAGGAAATTGTGAAAGTCTAAATGAGCAAATTTGAGCTACCCGGGCACTGCTTGAAAAATACAGAACAAAGCACCAAGGAAGAAGCAAAAAATAGCATTTGGCAGGAAAAAGGGCACAGCCTAAACTTTCTTAAAAGCCTAATATTGCTTCCACAACACAAAAGAGCAGAATGAAAACTGCATTTTCTATTGAAATTACATTCGACTTTGCCTCCAGGGCTGACCTCCCAGAACCGGTCCAAGGAGTAAGGCCGAGTCACAGCGCTTAGAGTTGGAGGGGCCTTGTGGTGGCCCTTCCACCTCCCACTCACTGCAAGAACACCTCCACAGCCATGCCTTGCTTTGGGGGGACCCCTTCCCCCTCGTGAGCTGAGATGAAATCTCCCCCCCTAGAGTTTTCATCTGAGGCTCCTTCCCTGTACTCACTGCAGTGAGCCAGCACCAAAGTCATCTCTCTTGACTCTGAGGACAGTTCACACTTTTCTCTTTCATGAACTCTTCTCCAGGTAAAACAGCATCAGATCCTTGGGCAAAGTGGCTTTTCTAAGCACTAGACCTCTGCCATGATATCATAGTTAACATGTCTACCCCTTTCAGCCCATGAGTTTCTTTGAAGCAAAAACTTGAAATAGCAAAGGCCTCCCTTACCCCTACTAATATCGCTCTAGGATGTTAATGATCAATGATCAATTACCCTTGGCATGCAGGAGACAGCCTAGGGCAGACTGTGAAGAGAAAATTTAGGGAGGAGAGGCAGAGAGTAGCAGAGTATTGGGCTCATAGCAAGAAACAGTGAGGACAAACACAAAAAAGCAAGGGGAGGAATGACAACAAAGATCTTAGCTTCCATCTCAACTTTCCCTGAGGTGGATATGATGCATGCATGTGCACACACACACACACACACACACACACACCACATTCATTAAATAGCCCAAACAAGCAGCCAAATAGCTCAGTGCACCACCCAATATCCCCTCTCTCACCATTAACAGACTTGGCATTTTCTCCATTTCAACATCTTAATCACTTACCCATCGTCTTCTCTCCATCTGGATTTAGAGACAGTGTTTGGTTAAAGAGCTTCAATCTCTTTACAAGCAGCCCAATAAAGATAAGTGGGGATATCAAAATTCTCTGTGAACTAATACCTCAGACTGCAGTGATTCCTCACATATAGTACTTTCTAATTGTGACCAGGAGCCAGATGGAATAACCTAATAAAAGTTCAAACCAGGGGCAGAAAGAGCTATAATACATATGGTCAAATGGTCTGTTCTGATATGGAAATTGCCTTTGCAGAAATGAGTATATTCTATAGGCATTGTCTGGACTTTAATCTCTCTGGCTGATTGTCTCATTCTTCAGTTGTACG